TCAAAGGGCGCTTTATTTTAGATGGCATTCTCTCCCTTCATGAGATAGTTCATGACCTCCATGTGCGGAAATCCAAAGCTATTATTCTCAAACTAGACTTCAAAAAAGCGTATGACTCGGTTAGCTGGTCTTTTCTCAGGCAGATTCTTCTTGCCAAAGGGTTCGACGGTGCCTATGTTCACCGTATCATGCAGTTGGTCTCGGGTGGCCACACTGCAGTTGCCGTAAATGGCGCTATTAGCAACTTCTTTGCGAATGGGAGGGGCCTCCGCCAAGGGGATCCGGCCTCCCCTGTTCTTTTCAACTTTGTGGCTGACGCTTTCTCCTGTATGCTCTCCAAAGCGGCTCGATGTGGACACATTATTCCTGTGGTCTCTCACCTACTTCCGGAAGGGGTCTCTCATTTGCAATATGCGGATGACACAATCATCTTGGTAGAGTTGGACAATGCCTGTATTGCCAATCTGAAATTTATTCTGTTGTGCTTCGAAGCTGTTTCTAGTCTTAAGATCAATTTCGCCAAGAGTGAGGTTATGGTGACGGGGGTTGACCGGGCGGAGGCCTTGCGGGTGGCCAGACTCCTCAACTGCTCCTTAGGTTCCTTTCCTTTCAAATATTTAGGTCTTCCTATCTCTCCTGGTCTGCTTCACGCGAAAGACTTCGCTCCGGTGGTTGCTAAAGTGGGGAATAGGGTGCTTCCTTGGAGGGGTAGGTATAATACCAATGCTGGCAAAGTGGCTCTAATCAATTCTTGCTTATCCTCTCTCCCGTTGTTCCTTATGGGCTTTTACCGTCTCACGGATGGTGTGCATGCTGGCTTCGACAAACATAGGGGTGGCTTTTATTGGAATTCTGCAGATAACAAAAGGAAGTATAGGTTGGTTAAGTGGCAGCTTATGTGCAAGCCTAAAAACCTTGGGGGGTTAGGCATTATTAATACTCGGGTGATGAATATTTGTCTGCTCATTAAGTGGTGGTGGAAAATTATGACGGTTGGGGCCGATGTGCTGTGGTTTTCGATTCTTAAGGCTAAATATTTTCCTAACTCCAACCCTATGTTTGCCCCTGCGCGGCGTGGTTCGCAGTTTTGGAAAGCCCTTGTTAAAGTTTGGCTGATTTTCTTGGAGCACGTTAAGTTTTGTGTGGGTAATGGGTCTGCTGTTCGTTTTTGGTTAGATTGGTGGTCCGGGGATGCTCCCCTGGCTGTTAGCTTTCCGGTTCTGTTCTCTTATTGCCCCAATCCGCAAATCTCCATCGCGGAGGTGGCTGCTAATAATTGGGACTTGGCTTTTCGTCGGGCCCTGTCTCCTGAAGAGTTGGAAGAATGGCAAAGTCTTTCTGCCCTCTTCCATGTGCTCTCGGAGGAGGCTGACTCTGTGGTTTGGCCACTTACGGCCTCTGGGCTATTCTCGGTCAAATCGTTGTATTCTAGACTCATTGGTGGTACTACTTCGGCTCGCTTCTCTTGTATTTGGAAATCTAAGGTCCCTCCTAAGATTAAGATTTTCCTCTGGCAAGCCTTCCGAGGTGGCCTTCCTTCTGCTGATCAGATCAAAAAATGCAATGGGCCGGGCTCGGAATTCTGTAACTTGTGTGGGGCTTTGGAAAACTCTAATCACATCTTTTTCAACTGTGTTCTTGCCAAATTAGTTTGGTCTTGCGTAAGATCATGGCTTCGGATCTCCTGGGATCCCTCCTCTTTCGCAGACACTAGAACCCTAGCCAAATCTCTGGTAGGGGTCACCAAGAGGGTATTCTGGGTTGGCTTGGGAGCCTTATGTTGGGCTCTTTGGACCATTAGAAACAAATTTACTATTGAGCTTACCTTCCCATCTAAGCCTGCTGACGTTCTTTTCAAATCATGTATATTCTTGCAGCAGTGGAGATTATTGACTAAGGAGCCAGATCGGGACGCCCTGGACCTGCTCATCGCCAAAATTCGGGCTTCAGCCTCTCAGATCTCCGGGACGAATCATGGCGTATAAGCTTGGTGTTGTAGTTTGCGGGATTAGGTCTCCTTCTCTCCCCGGCCTGCGTGCCGTGTTTGGCAGCTGCCTGTTTCGTTAGGATTTTGGGCCTATTTAACTTCTCTTTGTGTTTCTAAGACTGTGTGAACCTTGGGTATTCATGACGCTGCCTTGTGGCTTTATTTATAAAGTCGGGCTTTGGCCTTTTCTCTAAAAAAAACAACCTGGTTGGGGCCCAAAGGAGAATGATTTGGGTGGGCTTTGCAGTGATGTGCTGGACTCTTTGGACGACAAGAAACAAATTTACTATTAAACATGTTTTTCCTGCTAAACCTGCTGATGGCTTATTTAAAACTTGCATATTCTTGCAGCAGTGAAGATTATTGATTAAGGAGAAGGACAGGGATGCGTTCGATATGATGATATCCAAGATCCGGGCTTCTGCTATCTTCCTTTCTCCAGTTCAAGCCGGCAATTAGGATTTGTTGGCCCTGATGTTGCTGTCTTTAGTCTCTCCGGTCTGCTTGCCATGTACTGGCCTGGGAGCCATGTACGTTCTACTTCAGCCTGTGAGGTCTGGTTGATACTCTGTGTATTTCGTGTGGATGTTCGATGTGGATGGTTATGACTCTGCCTGGTGGCTTTATTTATAAAGTCGGGCTCTGGCCTTTTCTTTAAAAATAGTTGCTAGACAACCTTACACAGAAGGGCGGCATGGACAGGATTCCGTCTAGGCTATCAATAATTTCCACACCAAGCCGAAGTAGCTAAAAATAGCTATACGGGCAACATATCGTCGAGTCCTCGGCAACGGCTAATTCCACCGCCTAAAAACAAACACTAGATACATACCGCTCCTTTAATTTTTCTTAAAATCACATCAGTGTCTGTGGGGCGCGCATAGCTATATATTTCCGAGATATCCAGGAATTATAGTACTAATAAATTGAAACATATTGCTATGTATAAATAGTGATTGACTGCATGAGATCGAACTCTGCCCAAGCGGGCTAAGATAATTTCTGGTTTTCTTACTGACATGTTCTTTTCCTTTGTGATGGTTGATCGTCATTATTTTGTTGAATACTTTGGACGATACCGTGCAAATTGAAAAAAAAACAGTCGTAGTGAAAGATAGTCCCCAAGGGAAAATTCCATGAAAGTTACAAGGTGATGGACCAAAGCCTCTTCGAGTTTGAGCCAACAAGGCGAAGCAGATGACAACATCTCTTACAAAACGAAGTGGGCATGGAGGCTATCCCATTATTCTCTATACATGCTAGTCATGCTCCTAAGTTGCATGAAGGGGAAGTTGTGGAAAGCTATCAGCAAGATTCAGCACCTCTTGCGCATTGGGGCAGTTCGCACCATTGGCAACGACAAGTCTATGGTCTTTTGGTTAGACTAATGAATTTGTCAGCCCCTCTCGCAAGCGAGTTCCATGGAGTGTTCTCCATCGCCGCGACCCCAGACACCTTGGTTAGTGACATTTGGAGCCTCTGTTCCACCGATCCTTGCGACCTGATGAGAGGGGTGAACAAAGGCGATTAGTAACCTTGTTAACTGTTGTATCGCCATCGAACATGGACTACTCATTTCATTGGACGTTAGAGCCTTCTGGCCAGTTCTCGACTAGCTCCCCATATAGAGTGTTGCATGATGGGGGAGCCATATTCTAGGTCATGGACATATGGAAGGTCAAGCTCCCTACCAAGATCAAATTATTTCTATGGCAATATGTTTGTGATCCGCTTCCTAGTGGAGTTGAAGCCCAGAATGACCCCGATGACATCCTTTGCACTTTATGTGGTGCAATGGAGGATAGTGATCACATCTTTTTCTCCTGCATTAGAGAGGTGTACTTGGACCCCGGCTTCGTTTATGGATATCCACACCCACCCTTAGTAGTAGACTGTTTGGCTCCGCTCGTACTGTTACGTTGCTTGGTTTCGTGGTTATAGCTTGGGTTGTATGGCGAATCCGTAACAAAGCTCGTACTGAAGGGATGTTCATCAAACACCATGTTGATGGCATTTACAAAATGACTATCTTTCTACAGCTATGGAAGCGGTTTGGCAGGACCCAGGACTTGTAGATCATTGAAGCCTTCAGTCGCCGTCTTCGCATGCATTCTTCGGCTTCTTTGGGTCTCAGGGAGGGGACCGTGGTCATGTCCACTAATCGGTCATCACCTTGAGCGTAGGGACCTTTGGGTTTGCATCACACGTGTGGGCTGTTGAACCACCCGCCCTTTTGAGGGTTTATAGTAGCACTTAGACTTTCTGTTACTGTTGAACCTGTAAACCGTAAGGGCTTCAAATCATTAAAGTCGAGCAAGCGTCTCTTTTTTAAAAAAAGCGAAGAAAAATTTAGGAGAGCAACAGTCCTGGCAGCGGTATCGGCCTCTCTAGTCCATCCAAATGAAGATCAACTATATCACAGTTCAACCTCAACAGTTCTTGGTAGTGATCCATGATCTATCACAACACCTCTTATTTGCGGCAAACCAGAATAGATACGGAAGGGATCGTCGTCAACTTCTATATGAAGCAACTACTTCCATCGCCTAAAAGCAGACACTAGACACCCTTAAATTCAAACATTCTCCAACTCACAAAAAGGAAAATCAGCCCTTCGATATTTGATTTCAACGTCAACGAGAGAGAACCAGTCAAAGCAAGGAGACAGTCCTAGGTACGGAGTAACAAATCAAGAGCCACTGGAAGAAAATATATACACAAAGGTAAAGCTGGATCAGAGTACTCCAAACGGCGCACGGTACATTGAATTAAAGTATGATACATCTATCAAGTGATGACTAACAAGAAGAAGAACAATGCTACAACTTGATCTGGAACAAGGATATCTGCCGTTTCCACTCCACACATCATCCATCATTGATTCGCGCTGGAGTTTTCACCTCAGTCAGACAACTGACATTAACACCAAAGAAAGAAAATCAAGACACAGAAGGTTAAAATTAATTTCATAAGACAACATGACCACTGGTGCAGGAAGAAAACATACCACCGATCAATATGGCCCCATGGTGGACCAGGTCGCTCTAACCTCAGCTTTGAACTCGTCACCGATCGATACTTTACCACTGACAAATGAACATTTCTGTGAAATGAAAGTGAGGAAACGGGAATATGTCTTTGGTTCTGGCTCTCCATCCATCACAACATCAGGCCTTTGGTATTGCGCCGACGCTGCCTTCCGGGGCACGAACCTCTTCGCACACCCCTTGTGCACAGTATCCTTAGAGGTGATGTCAAATTTAAGCTTTAGCTCATGACCCAGTTGGACAGTAACAACTGATGATATAGGGAACACTGATTGTGCAGGAGAAGAATCAGTAGACCCATCATACAGCACAATTGCATCCGAAAGTCCGCTTGTAAATGCAGTTACTGCCTTCACGCCCCAAGCTGGACTAGCCATTGAAATCTCAATGTCAACTGTTGCTTCGATGCCCTGCCTAAGGAAAGCATAATGGAAGTCCACTGGGCCAAGCTTGCAAAAAAGCCTCGACTTCAGTGTAGTGCCACGCAGAATCATGTGATCTGTATATTCAATGCAACCATCAGCTAATACATAATCCATCTCAGCGTTGTCACTGCCATTAGACTTGACCTTCAGGCTGTACTCAAGAAGAACACCATCGAGAATAGAGTTCCCACGAACAGGAGATATGAGCGGCAACGTCCGGGAATCCTATTTTAAATACAAAAGAAATGCTCAATCAACGGTAATGTTTTGAATGACAGAAAGAGAGTGCCAGTAGGAATCAGGGATCTTAAATTTCAAGTATAACTAGCACTACTGTTACACCCAACTCATTACTTTATAATGACATGTTGCGTTGAGGTGTTGCCAGCAAACACATTTCCTGCTCCTTGCACATATATAAAGTCTGATGTATATAAGTACGTAATGCATCCTCGTAGATTACAGGATAGCAGACTATCATCTGAAGTATATAAGTACATAATGCACATGCTAAGAAACTATAGAATAACTTGAACGATATGCACAGAATTTAATAATATCATATCTTAGTTTCATTACCGCTCAATGCTCTTAATATGCACATAGCAAATCAAGATACCCTGACTGCATTGGTTGTACAATTCTTTATTACATACACCAGTTTTAATTCTAGCCAGGCTCTTCTAAGCTGCATTATAGAAGAAAAAAATGATACCAACTAGGGAAAGCCCTTGGCTTTTTATAAAAGAAATGACCTGAGCGCCCCACGGAGTCTGAGACTCAAACACGTTTGGGCTGCGTGTGCACTCGCACAATTTACAGAGTGCCATTTAAAGAGAAAGCTTAAACAGATGATCATATTTTACTCAAATCACATTAACTGACCGGTGTTATCTCGTGCGCCTGCTCTCTAGGACAGTTGAAGATGTAATTGCGCAGACAATCCAACTCATCCCGAATAGCAATGAACCCATATACTAGCATGCTCTGATCACGCAGGAAGTCGCCAACATATCTGAATGAGAATATTTGGAGCATAGTCAATACCGGGTAGTCTTTTCTTGGCTCTGTGAATCGTTTCCTTGTAAGGGGAGCTGAAGAAGTACAGAAAAAGAATATCAGCAGTACAGTAGTGTATATAGATGCTTAATTGAAGATGATAATGATAGAAATTTCACTTGGGTTGGTGTCGTTCAATGCATAGAGTCTGTAGTACGTGAAAAAGGAAGCTGGTTCTGGACATCGAGGTTGAATAGAAACAGTGAAGAACTGATCCTTCTCAGGAAGGGTTGCATTTAGCTCATCGATCTTCTTCCAATATTCTCTGATTTCTTGCATATACTTGTCTGAATTTTTCATAGCTGGCTCTGAGGGCAACAAGAAGAGGCCATCAGTTCATCATGCCAATAGTAAAAAACATGTTGGAACTGAAACCAGCAAATAGGAGAAAAAACTACAAAGCTTGCAAATTCTGTAAACCATAGACTCAATAAATGCTACCGATCCATATTAATCGTCGCTGATTTAGTATATCCCTCCGATCCATATTAATTCTCACTGATTTTAGTGTACTAAATCTGCAATAATTAATATGGATTGGAGGGAGTACTAAAATTGTGAAAGAACAGCATGGCTGATATATTAGCGCTCCTATTAAGAACTCTCAGATAATAGCGCTGCTCCTAAGAACTGTCGCAGATATACTACGCTGCTAGTGATCGAAGAATCAAACAAATAGCAAAGCATATTTTGGGAATTTGATACTAGTTTACATCCAATTGAAGAAATTTTTGCAGCTTAAACATCAGAATCATACCGCGCCGAGGACAAGAACACGGGTGGCCTGCATCGGCGCATGATGGGCAGATTCCACCGTGCCATCAATGACCTCGCCTTGAAGGAGATATATCTCAACGGGCGTCGCTTCACATGGTCGAATGAGTAATCACCGCCCACGCTAGTGCACCTTGACCGCGTCCTTTGCACGTCGGACTGGGAAGATGCGCACGGCGAATGCCATCTCCGGTGCCTCGCTTCGGTCGTGTCGGATCACTGCCCGCTGCTGCTTGATTGCTCCCCCATGCCGGCTGCATGCAAACGCTTCCACTTCGAGGACTATTGGCTCAGACTTGACGGCTTCCATGACACCGTTACCGCGGCGTGGAGCTCGGTGCAAGACGACGACCCATTCCGGCGGCTGGTCAAGCGTCTGCAGGCCTCTGCTCGCCGCTTATCAAGCTGGAGCGCCAAGGCCACGGGCAACATTCGGGACAAACTCGCCATATCCCGCGAGCTGATCATGCGCTTTGACAAAGAGCGGGAGGACCGAGTACTCTCGCCTCCGGAGGAATGGCTCCGCAAGCAGCTCAAGCTCGCCTACCTCGGCATGGCATCCATGGAGCGCACGATCGCTCGGCAGCGTGCCCGGATCGCGTTTCTTAAGGACGGCGACGCCAACACGAGCTTCTTCCACCGGCAATGCTCCTATCGGCGTCAGAAGAACCGCATATATAGCCTCGACGTCGATGGGCAGGTGCTCACGGATCATGAGGAGATGGCCGAGGCAGCATTTTCACACTTCGATGGCTTGCTGGGCACTGCTGTAGACCGGGCGCACACGCTGGACCTCTCCCAACTCATCGCGCCAGGCGACCTCGCATGCCTAGACGCGCCATTCAGCCAGGAGGAGATATGGGACGTGGTCAAACGCATGCCAGCGTGCAAAACACCCGGACCGGATGGCTTCACCGCGGAGTTCCTGCGTGCCTGTTGGAGCATCATACGCCAGGACATATGGGAAGTCTTCGAGCTGCTATACACGCTGTGTGGCCGCGGGTTCAGCAAGCTTAACCAAGCGCTGCTAACCTTGCTGCCTAAGCACGCGGACGCTCACAAGCTCGGCGACTACCGGCCAATCTGCCTGATCCACATTGTGGCCAAGATCTTCACGAAGGTCCTGTCATTGCGCCTCGCCCCCAAGCTTGACACCCTTGTCAGCCGCAACCAAAATACGTTCATTGCCGGACGTAGCCTCCACGACAATTTCGTTCTAGTCCGGCAATCCCTCAAGATGTTGCACCAACTTGGCGCTCCCAGGATCATGCTAAAGCTGGACCTCACACGCGCCTTCTTGACTCCATCTCTTGGCCCTTTCTCTTTGAGGTACTGCGCCAGTATGGGTTCGGGGAGCGATTCCGGGAGTGGCTGGCCATTCTGCTCTCCTCGGCTAGCACGCGGGTCATGGTTAATGGAGTCCCCGGCCCTCCAATATGACACCGTCATAACCTGAGACAAGGCGACTCCACCTCCCCGCAACTATTCGTGCTAGCGGTGGACACCCTTGGGAGGCTGACGCGTCTCGCTCTACAAACGGGTATCCTCCAGCAGCTGCACCCCCGGCGAGCCATCCCGGCAATATCTCTTTACGCCGACGATGTGATGCTTTTCTGCCATGCCACTACCGAGGAGATTGCCGCTGTCAAAGGCATCCTGGACATATTCGGTACGGCGTCTGGGCTACGGGTGAATTACGCCAAGAGCTCGGCCACAATCCTTCATGCCGACGACCACAGTGAGGGGCTGTTGGAGCCACTGGGGTGCCCCGTCGTGGCCCTGCCAGTCACCTATCTGGGCATCCCGCTCTCCGCTCGCCGCCCATCCGCAGCCCAGCTGCAACGAATGCAGATTCTGTGAGCTTATGCACCCGGGCCTCACTATCCTAACACTCCAATGTTCCTTTGAGATCTGTGCTACACAACTACCTTATTACATGGAATTTTCTCTTTTTTGTTCCTCTCATATAAAACATGTCTTGAACTTCAAACTTTGCAGTACAACATAACTTTGTAACTAGAATGTGAGATAAAACTTTCAGATTTTTTTGTCCGACATAAATATGAAAAATATGATTTTTTAATCAAAAAAATCTCATTTTGTATATTTATGTTGGACCAAAAAATCTGTAAGTTTTATCCCACATTCTACATAGAAAGCTTTGTTGTGCTGCAAAGTTGAAAGTACAAATACATGTTCTATATGAGAGAAACAAAAAAGAGAAAATTATTTGCGCGAATCTTGATGCAGAAATGAGTGGTTGGATAAGGAGTACCCGGGTGCATAGGCTCTAAAACATGTTTTCGCAGCTGCAACCCCTCGTCGACGCGGTGGCGGGCCGGCTACCCTCCTGGAAAGCTTGGCTGATGAACAAATCGGGACGACTAGCGCTTGTCAAGTCGGTGCTCAGTGCGATACCGATCCATCAACTGCTAGCGCTAGCGCCTCCAAACAAAACCCTGAAGCAATTGAAGAAGATTCAGCGCGGTTTTCTTTGGGCCGGCCGCGCGGACGCCCACGGTGGTCACTGCCACGTCAACTGGCGCCGGGTCTGCCGTCCGCTCGAATATGGTGGCCTCGGCGTCCGGGACCTCGAGCGCACGGGACTATCACTCCGGCTGCGCTGGCTATGGCTCGCGCGCACGGACACGGATCGAGCTTGGAAGGGGCTGGACCTGCAATTCACGACGGAAGAGCGAGCGCTCTTTTACGCTTCCACGACCATGGCCATCGGTGACGGCAGGACAACACTTTTCTGGGAGGACCGCTGGGTCGGCGGCCAATCCGTCCACGAGCTCGCTCCCATGCTTATCCAGTGCATCCCCAAACAACGCAAGAAGTCCAGAACGGTGGCGGAGGCCCTCGCCGGCAACAGCTGGGCGCGTGACATCCATGGCCTGCTCGGCCTCCCGGAGATTGGGCAGTACCTAAAGCTATGGCACCTAGTCCAGCATGTAGAGCTGTCCAATGAGCCGGACAGACTGCTCTGGAGATGGACAGCCAACGGTGTCTACACAACCCAATCCTGCTACCGGGCAACCTTCCAGGGCACGACGAGCTGCGATTCCTGGAAACTCATCTGGAGGAGCTGGGCACCGCCCAAGGTGAAGTTCTTCCACTGGTTGGCGTGTCGAAGATCACTGCTGGACCGCGGAGAGACTCGCACGCCGTGGCCTGCAACACACCCACGGTGCCTTCTGTGCGACCAGGAACCGGAGACGATTGGACACCTGATGCTTGCGTGCCCATTCACCAGGCAGACTTGGCATGAGGTCCTTTCTTGGCTACGCCTACTGGCACCGGCGCCCGAGCACGACGGCTCACTCATGGATTGGTGGCTGCGCGCAAAGGAATTCACACCGCCAGCGCTTCGCAAGGCACTCAAATCTGTGGCGCTCTTGGTGCCGTGGATAGTTTGGAAGCATAGGAACGCGTGTGTTTTCGATCATGTGAGGCCTTCACTGAATGAGCTTGTAGACAGGATTAAGGACGAGACCCGATGTTGGGCAAAGGCCAGAGCTCAAGGGCTCAAGGTCGTTTTGCCACCATCCAGGGATGTCCACTCAGGCCCTCCTGGCTGTGTAAAGCTACCTCCTAAGAGGATGTAAATTCCCCCCTTTCTTTCCAATTTAATGAAACGCAAAAGCCATTTGCATTTTCTCGAAAAAGAATCATACGAGCGAGCAGACAAGTAATTAGTACATCTATATATACACACTACTGTACCCGAAGAACATGAATTTTGCAGCTTAAACATGAGGAATCATATCTGAATGAACATTTTGCATGCTGAAACACTGATAGGGATGGCCGGAGGTCACCAATAAGGGCCCTCTGTTGAGGGTTCACCACCAGCGGACAAGGTCGTTCAGCCAGAGGGACCCTCGTCTCCCATGGTACCTCCGAAAGCTCTGGCCGCTCCAAGCTAACATGGGACACAGACAGGCTCGTCTCCGGAGGCATGGCCGAATCGGAGCGACGTTCCCCGTCCGGAGGCTGGGATCGGAAGCGGAGGTCCAGGGCCTATCTCGGGGGAGCAATTAGTTAACGAGCGCTTCTTCGAAGGAGCGCTTATAACGAGTGGTTCGGGAGCGCTCCGCGCGTGACAAGTGTCGCGCATGGAGCGTTCCCGCCAGGGAAAACCAGATGGCGTGGTTGGTTTCCGGTTTTCCCTTCCCGGTTTGCGGTTTCATGTGTTTTGCAGTTCGACTCTCATACTGCCATATTTTTCTGTTTTGCCTTTCCGTCAAAAACACATAAAAAATACCAGTTCGTGCGTTTGGTTCCCTGTTTTCCTTTCTGGTTTCTTTTTTTGTTCTCATTATATTTCCGGGTAATGGAGATTTATGGGGTAGTTACCGGCGGGGACTACCAACACTATCAAATATGATCTTTCAAGTAAGGAAAAAAAGCAACTTTTTAATGTAAAACAGCAGTCTTCAGAATTGTTCAATCGTGTGACTTCTTTATAGGCACAGGTGAACACTAGGAGAGGCACGGGTGTATAATTTTACTAAATTGAAGAAAAGCTCCTTCGGCGCGAGGGAACCTCCTGCTCGCCTTCGGCTCATTTAATTTTCATAAACATCTTGAAGGGGGGGCATAGGTCGAAGTGTGTGTTGGTCGTGCAGCGTGCTGGTTCGTACGCGTGTTGTTCGTCGTTGTGTGACACGGCGCCTCCGGCGCGAGGGAACCTCCTGCTTGCCTTCGGCTCGTTTAATTTTCATAAACATCTTGAAGGGGGGCATAGGTCGAAGTGTGTGTTGGTCGTGCAGCATGTTG